AATTTTTTCATCATCTCAGTCCATACTAATTTGTTGAGTGTTTTTTTTTTTTTTACTTTTCCTATTTGCTTCAAATGCCAAATGATCATTTAATTATCAATATTGAGTTCCTTGAAAACTTCTCATGTTGCTGTAAAAGGATTAGCCTTAATGAACGCTCTCTATCTGTACTTGTTAATGGTGGATGAACAGTCACTATGCATCTTTTGGAAACAAAAGAACATGGGAGTTTGTAGTGAAAAGAATGCTGTTATCAGTATTATAATACCTGACCTTAAAATACACCACAAAGCCAAGTGACAATGATTGCATAGTAATGACAGAAAAAGACATGTAGACCAATGTCATGGGTACCCCACCTGCAGGGCTACAACGGGTTCTCGAAAACCCTAAGGAGGAAATGTAGGGACAGGAGATACAAAGGAAAACACACCAAGTCTAGATTCTGATCAAAGTGTAACTTTATTTCTCTTCCAGAAAGGTTTATATAGTTTCTGCAGGGGGGAAGGGGAGCAAGAAGCTTTCATCTGCATAAGGTGGGGCAAGCTAACAGGATGTTTGTATAGGATGTTTACAGGGTGAGAGGGTCAAGGGCTCTGACTCAATGTCCTGTTGCTAGGCAACCTGACTGTAAGCTGATCTAGTTCCCTGTCTTATGGGGGTCTGTATTTTTCCACTTACTAGAGATTCTGTCCTTGTCCCTGACAATGGGATGTAATACCTTGTAGCTATAGTGGTCTAACTTTTGAAAGAACTGTCAAAAACAGACTGAAAAAGAAAACTAATTCAACAAATGGTGTATAAAACTGGATATCCATATATAGAAGAATGAAAACATTCAAAATGTCACCCCGCACAAATTGTCTCAAGTTAGATAAAAAAAAGCCCTAATTTAAAAGCTCAAGTGTGAGGGAAAAAAAGGCTGAGGGGCCCCCAACTGGATCAGGCCCTCTGAATAGGTGAGACAGTTGATTGGCTTGATCTGTTTGGGAGCCACCTAGGAAGTGGTACCAGGTCCTGGGCTAGCTGCATGAGATAGCTGTTTGAAACCTGGAACTTATACAGGGACGCTTGGCTCAATCTGGGAGGAGGGGACTGGACCTGCCTGGACTGAGTCTATCAGGTCGACCTCGGGGGTGGCGTTGATCTGGAGGTGGTGGGAATGGGGTGGCCTGGGGGGAAGGGGAGGGGGCAGGAAGTGGGAGAACAAGGGAATCTGTGGCTGTTATGTAGAACTGAATAGTATTGTAAAAGAAAAAAAAAAAGAACCTCCTAAATAGGTATCCAATAGCACAAGAAATGGCCCCAAGAAGTACAAAAACGAGGATGCATATATTAAAACATTTCTTCCAGAAAACTATCACAGAGCAAACAGGTAACCTGAAAATTGGGAGACAATATATGGCAGCTATACATCTGGCAGGGGTACTATCTAGACTATATCAAGAACTAAAAATATTAAACAAAGCACAAAGAATCTGTCAATCAATAAATTGATGACATGCATTGAAAGTTTTGTCCAATATACACTATTGAAAGTGTTCCAAATCTTTAGCAACAGAGAAATGTGAATTAAAATTGAGACTGCATTTAATCTCAGTCAGAATGGCTATCTTCAAGAGAAGAGATAATAACAAATGCTGGTGTGGATATGAGAGAAAAAAGTCTAGTACATGCTGACTCTGTGGATTTCCCCTTGAGCCCTGTACTGCTGGAGGCTGGTCCCCCAGGCAGCAATATCTCTCTTCTTGGTGTGTCCCTTAGAATAGACACACCCACAAAGTGCAAAGAGGAGCTAACCAAGGTAGGTTACAAGTGTATTTCGTATCTGGGCTGTGGAGGCCAGCTCCCACCTTTTCCAGGATTCCTATGAGGAGGAAAGAGAGATAAGAAAATATCAGGTAGAAAGATAGCAAAGAGGAGAAAGACAGAAACACAGGATAGCTTCAGGAGGACTGGGGTCAATACCCAATGGCCTTTTCCATTTATTCAAATGGATTTTTTATCACAATGCCAATGGGTGGGGCAAAAGACCTCCACCTTACAAGATCAAAGCACACCTCTCAGCCAAGTGTAGATCCTTCCAAACACCTGGTTAACTACAACCACAACCGTGGTCAAATCATCCCCTTGTGCAGCTCTGCTGGGGAAAGCAAGCTCAGGTTCTCTGACCCTGCAAATAAAGAGCTCCCTAATATTAATGCTACTCCTAATTTTCCTGGAGAACTGCTTCATTCTATCCACAGCTTGACTCATACTTTCTCACCATTTGGTACAAAGCTGAATCATCTCTCTGATTCTTGAACGAGTTGTGTTTTATTTTAACAGATTGTTTTTGTCTTTTCCATGATGGATTTGTGTCCTTTCTCTCTCCCCCTGCCCTTCTCATTCTTTCGCTTGAGACAGAGTCTCATTATGTATCAGGGGCTGACTTTAAAGTCATGATCCCCCTAAGTCAGCCTACCAAGTGTTGGGATTACAAGTACACACCAATAAGCCTGGCTCTACATGCTCTTTCTTGGTGCATTCCTAATAGTCCACAGTCTCTCTTAAGATTCTTCTCTTTTTTTCCCATCCTAGGACCTAGCGCTTCACTTTATAAAGTGTAGTTCAAATGTGTGGATATGATATATGAAAACTAGAAATGATGTTTGAGCCATAACATAGCAAGTGTGCACAAAATATTCTAATTTGCCCTCTCCCTGGTTCCACTATGAATAGTGAAGCCTATGTTTTCTATCCCCTTTTCTCTTTTCTTGGTGTGCTTTGAACAGATTTTTCTTCTTTTTCTTTTTTCCCCGTAAGCTCTTTGTTTCTTTCATGAAAACCTGTAGATGTTAGAAGAAAGAAGAGAAAATGAAATTTCCATCATTATATTATTTCATTTCATCATTGTAACTACTTGTTTTTATTATAGAAAATGATAGTTTAAAATCAGCTGTAGTCTCACAATTTTAAAGTGAGTTTTTAGAGGTTATAAAAAAACAAGCTAGGATATCCACTGAGTGAATGTGGTCATGAGGAAGAGCAGTTAGCAGTGGTATGCAATCAAATTAGTTGGTGTCTAAATTGAGCCACCTATTTATTTATTTATCTATTTATTTGAAATATAGTATGCACATGTATGCACACCTATATGTGCACATGTGTGCGCATGTCTGTATGGATGAAAACATGACAGCACTGTAGGTGTAGAGGTCAGAGCACAACTTGTGGAAGTCAATACTCTCCTCCTGTAATGGGTCTCAGGGATTAAACTCAGGTTGTCAGGAATAGTCAGAAGAAGGAGCCCCGAGTGAGTGAAATCATAAGTTAATGCATGTTGTTGAGATAAGACACGGCCATATTAAGGACCCCATAGTCTCAAACCCATGATAAAATGGCAATGCCTTTCCTTGGGATATAGCTCAGCAGTAAATGACAAAGACTTCTTAGGGGACCAAGTGCAAATATTTACAGTATACAGGAAGCGTCCACTATAGCTTTTTCCCCCCTGGATATTTATGGCCTGAAGACTGCTCCCCTACAAAGCAAGGTTAACCAAACTTGTACCCTTGAGCCAGCTATACAAATTAAACCCTGTTCCTTGTTTACCAGAATGGAATATAACCCTACTGCCTTATTCAGTTGCTCACAATAACCCCATCTTTTTGTTCAGCTCCATATAATAAACACACTGAGCTTCTATGGCACCGAGTCTTCTCCATTTGAAGGTCAGACTACCTGATCCCAGATTTCCCTGTACCTGTCTGTTTATCTGTTCTTCATTCCCTCACTGTCCCTAGTCAGGTCCAAGTACCTGGAGCCATGCTTAGTAGCACACCTGCTTACCTAGAACCATGCCACAGGCCTGCAAATGAACCACTGAATCACATGATAACCTGGAAGTCAAGTTCAAAGATTTCACTCATGATTATGTTTTGCTGTGTAAATTTTCCCCATTTACTAAGTAATCCCCTGCCATTGTCTCTGTGCAAAACACCCTTAGACATGAAATAAATTCACAAATATTTTTAATTAAAAAATGAAACAATAGCAATAAACAAAGCATGGATCTGTCCTGCTTGCCCACTGGAACACACTCCATAGCATGAAACCTCAGCATGAACTCTTATTGTAGAGAGTGACTGGTAAGGACACCCATTTCCCAGTGTTCTATTACAGTGAATCAGGGTGGCAAGGGACATGAAATCACACACACACACACACACACACACACACACACACACACACACACACACACACACACACACACTGTGCTTGTTAAGTTGCTTGGCTGCAATAATCAATACTCTCAAAGAAAACGGCAGCCTAACAGTATCCCATGGCTAGTTTTTTGAGTTATTATGTAAAAGTTCCTGAGTCTGTTTTAGAGAGGTTAGCTGTTGGCTTCAAAAGTCTCATCTGAATAGCTTAACCACTGGAGTGTAGCAGAAGGTCACCTCAAACAAAAGTACACACCAGAATCAGTACAAAGCTCTTTAGTTCTGATGATCTTTCTTGCTCTTTCCAAGTCTCTGGGGATTCTGCAAATCATGCATTGCTTGGTATTTCTCCATCATTCTCTGTAAATGACAGCATGAGAAGTGTCATGAAAATGATGCTTCATATTTGGATGATTGGATGATCTTAAAAATAGCAGGAAGTCTTTTATGTAGGCATATCTGACTCTGACTTACAGCTCATAACCACCATTGAATGTCACATTTTTCATATAACACTGTTTTATTTTCACAGCATCTCTACCCATTAGTTTTTTTTATTTGACTCACTTGAAAACACCAATGGATGTTACAAAGAGAGGAGACTTAATAAGGAGTAGAACAAGCACTGTATTTAAGCAATGGTAATGCAGTAGGTTCACATATCTCAACATCATGGAGGAAATGATTATGGCTCATTGGGAATCATGTGACGTGTTTTGTATACGAGACATTCCAGAGAAGTGTGAATTAAGGTGAGTTTGCCCTCTCCCCGCTAGATTATTACCTCTACGACGTCAGGGGTCTGCTTGCTTCATTCATTTCAGTGTCTCTAGCAATTTGCACAGTGCCTGGCATAAGGAAGACAGTTAATTCCTATTAGTGTTGTAGCTCAAAAAATGAGGAGTTTAAAAGAAGTGATTGAAAAGCACATTTGCTTTGGAGCTTCTCATGGACATTAGTTATTTCAGCAAACTTCTTGCCTTGATGAAATTAATACAGTAATAGAGGTCTAGAATGAAAACTGTGTGCATAGATAATTGAACTAATTCCATGAGCAATGCAAAAATGCCTTTGGATACATCATTTTTCCTTCTTTTCCCTTAGATCATTTAAAGGTTATATGAGTGGGACAGGAATGAAGATTCAGATGGGTACTGTGTAGTTTTTTGTATGTCTAGATGTGTTGCCAACCATAGAGCTACAAAGGAAGCCCTCCCTAGAAGAAATTTTGAAGGATGTGGCCTGGCATGCATAGGCTCATGGATGCTTTTGGTCAGAAGGGGGAGCTGTCATTTAGCACTACCATACAATATAACCTCTGTGAGGATCCATGAGTCAATCATAGTCTTTACTTCTAGGGACTGCAGATGTCAATTCCTAAATATGTCGGGGGGAGGGGAGCAGTGGACAACTTTGAACCATATAATGTGCAACATGGCACCCTTTATAATACACATTGTAGCTTTCAACAGAAAATGAATGCCAGATGCCAAGTTGGATCATTTGTAAGTCCTCAGCACTTATGTCATACAACACTACCAAAATAAAGATGTTCATCACAATTTCTCTGCTCATCTTTTTCTCATAAAATCCATTTGTTTGATTATTTTCTTGTTTTGTGTGACATTTGGTTTATGTCCTTTGTCACTGCTAAAAAGCAGTGAAAATAAAAAAATGAAAAAAGTAGAAAAGCTCACGATCAAAAGCACATATGACAGCCAATGTTGGAGAGGATGTGGAGCAAAGGGAACACTCCTCCACTGTTGATGGGAATGTAAACTTGTACAACCACTGTGGAAATCAGTATGGCGGTTTCTCAGAAAATTAGGAATCGAACTACCTCAAGACCCAGCCATCCCACTCTTGGGCATATACCCAAGGAATGCTGATTCA